TTTAAATAATTAAAAAAATCCTTTGCACAACAAAGAAAATATCAAATTTTTCCGTCCTCACAAAAGGCTTACGTATGAAAACTCGCAAAATTAAATAGGCAGGCATCTTTTTACGCTTATTGCATACATACAAAAAAAAAGGTGGCTCAGCAATCATGATGATAAGCCCTTATCTTTTTGATGTTTAAATCTTGCCAAAGTAAACATGCTACGAAAAGTGTCTCTGGTTGGTATTTGTTTCAGTCTTTTTGCCTCAGCATTTACTTGTTTAATTTCTGTTGACAGTGTGGTTTTTAACTTCATTAATACACATCGCTGGTTGCCTGCCTGGCTGCTTGCTTCACCGTGGTTACAGTCCTTGGAGCCTGTATAGTGTGTGGTGTGAAACACGTACGTTAACACCGCAAGTGTGGTGGCGTTGCCAAGGGTTAAGCGTAGCATTTTTGACGTTTATGTCGAAAAGTAAGCCAACGTCTGCTGAATTAAGTAAATCTTGTCAAAAATGAAGGCTACCGCTAGTGAAAGCGCAACATTACAAAGTTACGAGAAGAAAAAACGTTGAAAAATGGCTTTCCATCTCAATGGGCCCTTTGAGATTTTTAGATGAGCGTCAAGTAGTGTAAATGGCGTATACGTTATGTATTTAGTATATGTAGGCGTTTGTGTTGTTCCAGCATGAGCTCAATCAAGTTAGCGGCGCTGAAATGAAAAAATGAAGAACCAATTTGTTCGTATTATTGTGGTCATTGTGTGTTATTTTCGGCCACTTTACGTTTTTTTTGGGCTCCGACCATTTGGTAAATAATTAAGACTTTGCCAAGTTAACCGTAACTTAGCAAAACATTCACTCAATGAAGTCTTTTTGCTACTTATCTGGGCTTATTTTTTTGGGCTTTTTATGTGCTTTCAAAATATTGCCCAGTAAACATTGAAACCCCGCTTGACGTCACGCTATCTGGCCCACTTCTTAAACTTTAGTCGAACTCGGATAAATATTATTGAGGAATTACGTGCTATTTTTGGACCTTTTACAGTCACCAAAATAATTATAGGAGCTCATCCAGTTTCCCAGATATTTAAGACTTTGCTGGGTTAACTGTAACCTAGCAAACCATCCATCCAGTGAAGACTTTTTACTGCTTTTCTGGGTTTATTATTTTGGGCTTTTAATGTGCTTTGCAAATATTGCCCGTTGAACTTTGAAAAATCGCTAAAAATATTGCCCAGTAAACATTGAAAACTCGCTTGACGTCGTTGTAGCCGACCAACTTTATAAACTTTGGTCGAACACGGATAAATATTGCTGAGGAATTAGGTGATATTTAGGGGCTTTTCAGAGCCGTCAAAATTATTTACGGTGATCACTAAGTTTCCGTGATTATTAACACTTTGCTGCGTTAAATTTAACTTAGCAGAACATCTATTAAGTGAAGACTTTTTATTTAACGTTTCAAGTTTATGAACAACTGTCAAGTGTACACATTGGGGTGTTTAATAAACTCATACCCAAATTCATAAAAAATAAATAACACTTTAACTGCTCGAAATTTCGTATGAAAATGTCACTTTATAGAGCTCTTAAACCTATATTATTTTTTATGAATAAGGCCATCAGAGTTAAATTTGACATTTATTTGTTCACATTTTCTTATTCACATTTAGCCTGTTCCCGTACTTCAGCATTTAGACAGAAATAGTCCGAAGTAGCCGTGGTGTAGAATACCAACCGTTTAGCTATAAAGAAATAAAAAAATATGTAGCTAAATAGAATTTTTCATGCTTATTTCAACCATATGAAAATTATTTGGCGCAAATAAAAAATAAAGCCAATAAAAAAGGTTCAAGTTTAACTTTTATATTTTTATATTTATAATATCTCGGAAACTATTTGACCGATTACAAGCCTATTGATGCTAATTTAGAGATAATTTAAATACCTTTTACGCGACGTATACAGTATAACCTTTTTGAAAACAAATTTTAAGTAAACGCCATTTAAAAAATATATATATTTATATATTTTTTGATTATTAGGGAGTTCTGGCTTAAAAATATAAACAAACGAAACAATTATGTCCACCAAGTGAAATATCCCCTAATTACCTTTATTTCGACGTCATTGGTTTTTTAATAGGTTATATTGTTCAGAAGATAATAATATTAAAAAAAAATCAAAAAATTTAGCTTTAACCATTGATCTCTTTTTAATTTTTTACTTTACCCAAATAATTTTTGTAGGGACAAAAAAGTTCTATCGAGCCACATTGTGGTTTTTGCATAGCTAGATTGCTGGTATTCTACACTTATGTGGATGGAACGACCTGGAACTATTTTTATTAAATTCTGCAGTACGGCAACATACTAAATGTCGGCAAATTGGTTGCAGGTTTGGATTATCAAAGATAAAAACCAAATTCGACCAATTTGCATTTGGTTTGTGTCTTTGATAATCAAAACCTGCAACCAACTTGTCGACTTTTAGTATGTTGCGGTACTGCAGGATTTTATTTGGCGAAAGTTAAAAATAAAGACATCAATGGTTAAAGAAAATTTTTTTTATTTTTTTTTAAATGACGTCAAAATGAAGGTATTTAGGGGGTATTTCACTTGGTGTGAATAATTTTTATATTTTTTTTATATTTTTAAGCCAGAAATACCTAAAACCAAAACATATATAAATATACATTTTTTTAAATAGCGTTTATTTAAAATTTCTTTTCAAAAAGGTTATACTGTATACATCACGTTAAAGGTACTTAAATAAACTTTAGCATTAAATAAACTTTAGCATATGTTTGTGATCGGTCAAATAGTTTCCGAGGTATTATAAATATAAAAATATAAAAGTTAAACTTGAACCTTTTTTATTGGCTTTATTTTTTATTTGCGCCAAATAATTTTCATATGGTTGAAATAAGCATGAAAAATTCTATTTAGCTACATATTTTTTTATTTCTTTATAGCTAAACGGTTGGTATTCTATTTCTTTCTAAATGCTGGAGTACGGGAACAGGCTAAATGTGAATAAGAAAAAGTAAACAAATAAACGTCAAATTAAACTCTGATGGCCTTATTCATAAAAAATAATATAGGTTTAAGAGCTCTATAAAGTGACATTTTCATACGAAATTTCGAGCAGTTAAAGTGTTATTTATTTTTTATGAATTTGGGTATGAGTTTATTAAACACCCCAATGTGTACACTTGACAGTTGTTCATAAACTTGAAACGTTAAATAAAAAGTCTTCACTTAATAGATGTTCTGCTAAGTTAAATTTAACGCAGCAAAGTGTTAATAATCACGGAAACTTAGTGATCACCGTAAATAATTTTGACGGCTCTGAAAAGCCCCTAAATATCACCTAATTCCTCAGCAATATTTATCCGTGTTCGACCAAAGTTTATAAAGTTGGTCGGCTACAACGACGTCAAGCGAGTTTTCAATGTTTACTGGGCAATATTTTTAGCGATTTTTCAAAGTTCAACGGGCAATATTTGCAAAGCACATAAAAATCCCAAAATAATAGACCCAGAAAAGCAGTAAAAAGTCTTCAATGGATGGATGGTTTGCTAAGTTACAGTTAACTCAGCAAAGTCTTAAATATCTCGGAAACTGGATGAGCTCCTATAACTATTTTGGTGACTGTAAAAGGCCCAAAAATAGCACGTAATTCCTCAATAATATTTATCCGAGTTCGACTAAAGTTTAAGAAGTGGGCCAGATAGCGTGACGTCAAGCGGGTTTTCAATGTTTACTGGGCAATATTTTGAAAGCACATAAAAAGCCCAAAAAAATAAGCCCAGATAAGTAGTAAAACGACTTCATTGAATGAATGTTTTGCTAAGTTACGGTTAACTTGGCAAAGTCTTAATTATTTACCAAATGGTCGGAGCCCAAAAAAACGAAAAGTGGCCGAAAATAGCACACAATGAGCACAATAATACGAACAAATTTTTTCTTCATTTTTTCATTTCAGCGCCGCTAACTTGACTGAGCTTCCAGCATGTATATCTTCAGGCGCGCCACACTACTGAATATTATATATACGAACACCTGCAAACACACGCGAACAAGAAATAAACTACAGTGAAAATGTCTTCATTTTTGTTAATTAACCTCTTTACAGTTGAGTTGACGCTATTACGACCTTCGCTGACTCAGCTACTGTGTTAAAGGTGTCTGACACCGGTACACCTTTGGCATGTCAGTCAAATCGACTGAATGACTTTAGTATGACAGACTGATAAATGTAATAAGTATATTTATATGTATGCAAGTATGCATGCAGCAGTGTGACTGACAGCCACCGAGTCTGCCAGTCTAGGCACAGAGCTTAAGTGGCTCACACGTTCTCCAATGGCTGTGAAACAGTCCCACTGTCAGCTTTGTAGACTGACAGCCCTTACAGCTGCCGGGCCGCTGACGAATGAGCGTGCAATGCGTTTTAAAACCGACTGACGGACGTCTATCGGGCGGGGTGTATCGTTTGTATGGGTGGGAAAGCAGAAGGCTTCGCAGCTGCGCCTTGTTGTCAGTTTAACACCCTACTATGCAAAAGGAAGAAGTGTTTTCGCAGAAGAGTTGGCTGCGTGTTAATACATATAAGAAAGTTTCGAATGTGCTCATCATACATTCACAAAGATTTTAAATTATTAATGTGAAAACAGAAAAAGTAAAATGTCTTAATGCTTCGCCTTTATTTACATATGTATAATTCTTTATATTGTTATGCGTTTGATTTCATACGTTTTTCAGCTTTTGTAAATGTATTTGCAAAATTTTGTTTAGACAGAATTTTAAACTAAGCACCAACTGTATGACAAAAGAATGATTTAAATTTTGCACACCTCTTTATTCTTCTTGGATGCCATGCCCTACCAGTGGTAGGCTACCACGTTATTGAAGAAACTTTATTTTTTGTTTTGCTTGCATTTAGCGGTACTATATTTTTTGTGCTATATTAGATTTGGTATCATTTACTTGATTTTTAATACACTTACCGATTTCTTCACAAATGAAACAAAACCGTATCCTTTCGATTTTAGCGTCTGTGGATCGCGCACTACTCTGCAGTCTCTGTAATGAAAACATAATATTTAGTTGAGAAAAACATGTCTATACATTATTTATAGGTATATAATATTATGTATATGTACATAGTACGTGTTAAATTTATATAAAAAAATTATTGTAATACTAAACATATATACGTACATAATACCTTAACTCATTTGGCATACATGTGTGACTCGCTTCTCTCTTCAAAATAAAAAAAAAACGCTAAAGGTTATATTTCTGTGTTTTTTCCATTCACTACCATTATGTTATTCTGTTTTCTTTATCTTCATTTTAATCTTTATACTCTATCGATAACAAAATCGATAGTAACATCCAACAAAATATCGATAACAAAACCGATGACAAGTTCGATAAAAACTCCTATAGCAAAATCGATAATAGTATTGTTAGCAAAGTCGATTGGAAAATCGATAAAAATATCGATACACAATCGACAACAATAATCGATAACAATGTTGATAACTAAATCCACAAATATATCGATAACGAAGTCTATAAATCATCGATAACAAAGTCTATAAATCATCGATAACAAAACCGATAACAAAATCTATAAAAAACCGGGAACAAAATCGATAAGGAATCGACTAAAAATCGATGACAATATCGGCTACAAAATCGACAAGAAATTCGATAAAAATACCGATAAAAAATTCGTTTAAAATATCGATCACAAAATCTGTAAAAATATCTATAACAAAACCAATAAAAATATCAAAAAAAAATATCGATAACAAAATCATTAAAAATATCGATTACAAAATCGATAACATAATCGATAAATAATCGATAACAAAATCCATAAATAACTGGTAACAAAATAGATAGGTAATCGATAATCTATCTATCTATAAATCTATAGTAAAATAGATAATAATATTGGTAGCAAAATCGGTTTGAAAATAGATAAAAATATCAATAACAAACCGATAAAAAATCGATAACAAAAATCGATAAAAATATTGATACCAAATTCGACAAAATATATCGATAACAAAGTCGAGAAATAATCGATAAATGATCGATAACAAAATCTATTATAAAATCGATAAATAGTCGATAACAAAATCCATAAATAACTGGTAACGAAATCGTTAGGTAATCGATAAAAAATCGATGACAATATCGATTATAAAACGATAAAAATATCGATAAGAAATTCGATGAAAATACCGACAACAAATTCGATTAAAATACCAATAACAAAATCTGGAACAATATCGATAACAAAATCATTAAAAATATCCATAAAAAAATATCGATAACAAAATCGTTAAAAATATCGATAAGCTGCGAGGATATCGATAGCAAAATCGATAAAAATTTCGATAACAAAATCTATGAAAATGTCGATAACAAAACCGATAAAAATATCGATTAATATATCAATGAGTCCCGAGAATCCCGAAAATCTCTAAAATCCCAAATAGCCATAAGTATTTTAAATGAGAGCAGAACTTTTTTCGTTGCTATAATATTTTTTGATATTCTAAAACTAACTTGCCAATCCGGGAAATTGTGAAATTTAGAATTTTGAATAACTTTCGAAAAAATTTTGTTTCGTCTTTTAGCAGAAAGTTAAATGAAAATTTCGGAACCAAACACATTCGCAAACAAAATGCACTGTCTTACTTGGAGTAAAAGTAGAGTAATTGTGTCTAGAAAGGAGAAACGCGGTTAACAAATTAAGTCAATACGTATAATTATGTTGTCAATTAGGCCTTTAATAATTACAGCCGATTTCTCAGTTGATAAATAAGTATAAGTTAACAAATAATTAGTAAATCAATAGTTGACTGCTCAATGTTGGTGAATTAAGTATGAGTAAATCATCGATCGTCGGCCGCTGTGGTGTAGTGGTAAGCAGTGCGCGCTTTCACTCCGCAACGCCTGGGTTCAAGCCCTGGTTAAAGCAACATCGCAAAAATATATATAAAAAAGATTTTTTCTTAACAGCGGTCGTCCCTCGGCAGGCAATGGCAAACCTCCGAGAGTATTTCTGCCATGAAAAACAGCTTCTCATAAAAATGCAATCGCTGTTCGGAGTCGGCGTAAAACTGTAGGTCCCTCCGCTTTGTGTGACAACCTCAACGCGCTCGCCACAAGTAGGGGGAGAAGCTCTGCCAAACACTAAAATATGTGTAAGCACCAATCTATTATTATTATTATTAATCATCGATTAAGTACACTGAGAAACAGACAAGAAGAGATAATCTTTTGATTATAATTAAACGTCCACTGAGAAATCGGCTGTAAGTATCTAAAATTCTGATTACCAATTTCTTCCGAATTTCCAAAATCCATTGAGCTATCGGTTTTAAATATAATAATATTTCAAATTTACTTTAAGCATTTTTCCTCCTTAAATAAAAAAATAATAAAAACAGAACGTCAAAATGAACGCAAAGAGTGCTAACCACAAAATAAATAGCAAATCTGCTTGCTCGTGTGTCGAATGCTGCAAAGCTAAGCGAATTACATGGCGGATAAAGCGAAAATATATGTGTACACACATACAAACATTTGTATGTATAAAACACCGTATGAACGTAAATATATACATACATATAGTAACTACGTATGAAAGCAATATAAAATAATTTTCAACAGATTTTGTGTGTTTCCAAGACTAGGGCAGGACTAGCCTCACTTAAGGTAATACTGCTATAATTTCTTAAAGCCCGTAGCAGAAAAGATATAATCTATACCACCTAAAAGATTATAGCTTTTAAAACTTCCTTGAAGAAGTACTTTGACAGACAGAAAGCTGATAAACGTTTATATACATTTCCTAAAAATATCCTTTTAAACGAATGACAGCCTTTTGTTTAACTTTTTAATTTCATACTTAAGAATTTAACTCTTGACAACAAATCCTTTTTGATTTTATAAGAAATAATTTCTTTGACAGCTCAAGTAACTAATCCAGAACTGTGTTGGACATCGGCCGCCACGGACGCGGCACGTTTGATGCGTGAATAACATAATAGTCCTTTTTCTTTTTAGGAAAATTTACTTGTTGAAGAAGAACTATAAAGATAATTTTTTACTTCCCATTTATTTCATTAGATAATAAATTTCGCCTAATAAAATTGAGACAGATATCTTCCACACTGTACCTTTTTGTACTACTTTACGGGTAATCACAGAAGAAGTAGCCAATATACTATGAATTTTCCGCACGTGTGTTAGCCAAATGGTAAGCGAGAAAAAAAAAACATTTTTACGCGAGCGTGCGTCCCAGCGCAGCAAATCTGATTTAAAAAAGCAAAGCGTTGGAGAACGCAAAAATAAATAAAATCATAGCTAAAGAATAATAGGGGAAATTTAGGTAAATAGAAGGCGAAGCAGAGAAAAGATGTAAGAGCACAAAAGGCACAAAAAACGAAAGCTATGCCATATGTGCATACCCATTACACCATACAATTTTAAATACACATACATACATACATATCGTCGTTGAAAAGACAAAACCGCGTATCTTGGTTCTGCAAAACCTCGTCACTGACATTTGTGCCAAAAAAGATTATTTGCTCACCGGAAGCTACTGGCATCAAGCCCTTATTCATTCATACTAAAATATCGATACTTAGACATAATATCAGGAGACAATTACGGATTAAAGAGAGAACCGTTTTTAAATAAGACATGTTTTGCTTTCTTCTATAAAATTTGGGCAACCTCCCATACCAGGTTTTGCGCTTTCTTGATACGCGGTTTTGTAATTTGAACGACCATTTGTATATACCTAAATGCACATAATGGCATGTGGTAAGGGATTTGTGCTAAAATAACACATACTCTCAGAAAAAATAAATATACGCATTGCGTATATGTATAATATACACACAGGTATATTAGGGCGGGTAAGTTTTTTTTTACTATGCGCGTTTAACATATGTAGGAGGATTCTACAAGTAATTCTAAGCAAATTTGATGAAGAAACCATGATCTAAAATCCATTTGGAGTTTGCCAAATTGCGAAAATAGGTTTCGAAAAAAAATGTGAAAATGTTTAATGTTGCGCCCTCTGGTGGAAGTTTCAAAAAAAAAGATAAGTGTAGAAATCAACTCCCCTTTATCAAAAAAAAATCCATCTAGCATGTCTTCATCCAAAATGAAAGCACTTCTTTACGATGCTACAGCAAAATGCTCCTTCAATATATCACGCCAGTTTTTTTTCTTCCGAGCCTACTGGCGAAGATTGGAAATATCTAATGCAGCCAGGTTCCTATCCGCCAGATCATTTTATAGCAGAGAAGGCCAATAGATCGCCGTGGTTGTTCTTATAGCGGTTCACGAAGACCTTTAAATCTGCCGTAGGTCGACTAATTTTCGGGTGTGCTTCTTGCCGCCTAGCTTTTAAAGCTCCTCACACTGCCGTATATCGGCCTATTTTTTTTTTGGTTACCTAAAATCGGGAATGTTTGTCCCTCGTAGTGTGCGTATGTATAAAACACTGCGTTTTCTAGGGATGTGCCTGGTACAGAATAAGAGCCGGATTCGGATATCCGATCGGATAGCCAATAGACTGCTGCCCTTTATAAATTTCACAATATTGTAGTATTGTTTTTTTTTCACCGACATATGTACTTTTGATCAGATTTTCTGCTCTTTCGAGCTGAACGGACATCAATAAAGTTAAAAACTGTATTGATGATATACCAATTCGAAAATATAAATCAGTTAGCATGAAGAAACCAGTTGAATTATAGGAAAATGACCGAACTCTCGTGAAAGCTTCTATTGAAGAGGGAGTTCACCAGAATATTTGGAAATGCTTTGAGAAAATCGCCAACGGCTCTGATATACTGATTCTAGTTTTTGTAGAGATGTGGATAGCCAAACGATGGGTAGACAAGACAGCGACCGTACAAGAAACAAGACAGCGATTTAGAAATGGAGTAATATTCACAAATACCTCTTATATCCATGCAAGAAGATTCTTTAAGCTAGTGGAAGTACAGTCGCAAAGAAATTTTAAATTTATTTACACT